CTACATTGACAAAATATTGACATTATTATCATTTTTAGTGATATGATTAATAAACTGTTATCAAAATATTAATAACTTCAGAAACAATAAAATGATAGAAAAACTTTCAAAAGAAGAAAATGGGGAAAACAGATGAGATAGGTAAAACTAATAGCTGACTCCTTGGTGACTAATCACTTGTAGAGCCATCTATGTGTAAAGACAATAGCTAAATTATTTTTACAATTGGCATGGCATTGTAGTCTTGCCACCTGCTGACATTGGGTTAATAAGATTTTGCTAATAGTTTGGATCTCTCTCACAATACAGCAGCAGAGATTGAAGAGGATGGGAAGTGCTTTACTGGAAGGAGGACCAGACTTCCAGCTCCTAAACCTCTCACAGAAGACTTTTCTGTTTGGAATTTCCTTTACAAAAATATTGGAAAGGACTTGTCCAAAGTTAGCATGCCAGTGACCCTTAATGAGCCTCTGAACATGCTGCAGGTATTTTTTCTTTTAATGATGCACTGTAGTAATGAAGACTAATTTTAAAAGATTATATGTAAGAAGAAAAAATGGCTTGGATATTAATATTATGGATACAGGATGTCACAGAAATTAATTCCATTTCAGAGGATGTGTGAAGAATTAGAATACAGTGAATTGTTAGATAAGGCTGCAGGACTTGAGGATCCTGGGGATAGGATGGTGTTAGTAGCTGCCTTTGCAGTGTCCGCTTATGCTTCATCCATCTACCGTGCAGCTCATAAACCATTCAACCCTCTTTTAGGGGAGACTTATGAAAGCATCAGGGAAGACAAAGGCTTCAGATTTGTGGCAGAACAGGTGAGTAGAGGTGAACAGGATTAACTCCTTCAAGCATTTTGAAGCCAAGTAGGTAAAAAAGATATGTCGTACTAAAATTATTAGTGACTAAAGTACACAAAACATTTTTAAATTGTTATCATATCTGCTTGAAGCACCCGTTACTGCCAGGCCATGTGTATAGCTGTCATAACAAACCGCTTAATCTGCCGGGTATGGCTATATGTGCGTATCGAGTGGGGAGTTACGCTACATGTAGCAGACTCCTGCTCTCAATGGCAGTATAGTTGCCAGAAATCACCAGAGTCTAGGATGCCAAGAGAGTTCTAATACCGTCATCTAAGGGTTTTTAAGGAGACTCCTTGGAATTTTTTAATGAACAAAAAAGATTGAAGTATTCAGCAAAAAAAAAACATATCCTTCGATAATTATTAACAGATTTTCATCACCAAATTCACAAATATAAAAAAAATGTACAGGGCCCCTCACAAAAACATTATACTATATATTTTAGTCATCTCACACTGATCCATAGTTGTATGTATTAAATGCCCTAAAACTCATATGGGGCACTTTTTGGCATATTATTATATTGCATGATATGGAATCTATATAATGGCCAGGAATGTATCAGCTAACATTTCTTTATTGTTACTGTATAGTGCAAATTGAGACAATTTATGTTTTTTTTTTTATATTTCTGCTTTGAAGGCATATTGTATCTTTTCTCTTCTCTTCTCTTCTCTTCTATTATAATACTTATATTTTACCTCACTCACATAGCAGATAGATACATTGAAGTAATGGCACCATTCTAATGATTTAGTGTTATAATAACTAAGAAATACACTGCTAGTGATGTTGAAAGGCGAGGAATGGAAGTTTATATAGAAATATCTATAAAAAGTGCAAACCAAGATAATTACTTCAGTCCTTTCTCAGCATTATGACCTCTCAAAACCATAGTTTATTACACATTAAAAAAAATCAGTGGGGCTTATCAATCAATCATTTGGAGCTAACGCCAGCAGGGGTGCATAGCTGCATTCACCCTTCACTTCCACCAGTGGCAGGGGCCCAGCCCATCTCTAGTTCCTCACAACAGGTTTGATCGATCTGCCCAAGCCACGACCTTCTTGGTCGTCCCACAGGCCTCCTCCACCTGGGGTTATCTCGGACAGAAACAACCTGATGGGCGGGAGTCGAGCCAAGTGGCCGTATAGCCTGAGTTGGCGATCATGGATTGTGCAAGTAACAGGTCCTGTGCCGATCTCACGGTGCAATCGTTGGTTGGACACATGGTCCCGCCAACTGTACCCCACGATCCAGCACAAGGATCTGTTACAAAAGGCATCAAGACGAGATTCCAAGGGACAAGATAGCATCCAGGTTTCACTACCATATAGAAAAATTGGCAGTATCAGGGCCTTGAAAACACGTAACTTGGTCCTTCTGTACAGGTACCGGCATCTCCAAATACTCTTGTCGTGAGATTTCATGACCCCTGCTGCCAGGCCAATCTGTCTACTGACTTCCTGGTCTGACAGCCCAGAGTCGTGAACTGCACTACTGAGGTATATAAAGCTCTTGGTAACTTTGATGTTTTCGTCGCAAGCACGTACTGACTGCGCGGTCTCCTAGTAGGCCTCCAAAATCCTGGATCTTGGTCTTGGTCCAGGAGATCTCTAGACCCA